GTTGAATAGGGGGACCTAGTTCAATGTAGTGATAGTTTGGGTGATTGATTTCAGAAAGACCCCATTATATAATTAATGTTAACTGCTTGGTGGAGCACAGCGAGACATTATTTACTTTTGGTCTTACTTAATGATGGCTAATATTTTCTTCGTTAATTTTCATTTTTGACATTGCTAACAGGTCTGGAGGGAGAAGAATGTTATTAAGCCTGCCCCTGGCAAGAGGCGCTGCAACTGCAGAAATGAAGTCTATCATAGACAAATTGCTCCAGGAATGTTTCAGCAGATGACAGAACAGGTGATTTTTTTTTTAGATTTTCAATATATATTGGTTTCTGTTACTTTGAAAAAAATATTTAGGTCTCTGGTGCAAGTAACGAAACTTTCAAATCTTTCATGTTTTGGGTTTGGTCACTTGAAACTTTCATTTTTTTATTCAAGCTCCCATTTGGTGAAAGAGAGATGTTATTTCTAATTGTTATATTATTCTGTTTCAGGTTTGTGAGGAGTGTCAAAATGTAAAATTTGTGCGAGAAGGAGATTTTGTCACCGTTGATATTGAGAAGGGGATGAAAGATGGACAGGTACATTTCTAAATATTTTATACTATCCGTGAATACCTTATAGGTTAGCTTTATGTTTCTTAATGCTTGTCACTGATATTTCTGTTAATGTTTTCTATGTTACTTTGTTACTTTAGGTTTCCTAGGCTCTGTAAAACATCTTGGCACAAGTTTGTTAATTTTACATGTAATATTGTTACGGTAGATGACATTGAGCAGCTTAATGTGATTGCCTTTTAGGCTATCACTATTCCTTCCTTGCCACTTGTGCAGCAAGTCTATGATAACATTCTCATGAAAATGTCTCTGTTGGTGGACTTAAATGATGATGTGCTTCCTTATTGGAGTTGTTTCTTGGCTTAGGAAACATACTCTTCTTTTCTAGAAATGAGTCCCACACTCCCACCCTTAGATTTTCTGTAATCATTCTGCTTATATCACATCCCTGCTCTCATCTGCTTGGCATTGTAGCATATATGAAAGCATGATGCAATGCAGTGCATTTTTCTTTTGTTTGAGAAAGCTAACAAGCACGATGCAATTTAATTAATAAATCATGCCGAAGGTACTGCTTTGCCATATTGTTTAGAATGCATGCTCTAGACATGGTTGTTAAGCATTGTTTATGCAGTTGCAATCTGAGTGGTCCGTTAGTGCGGAATCGATTATATTTCGGTTGAATTTGATTGTTTCTGAATCTGAATTAGGAGTCTGTAGAATTGAAATAAAACAAGCAACAAATAAAAGGAAAGAAAAGATAAATTCGGGGTTACGCCTGTTTCACACGCTACACCTAGCCTGATTTGTCTTCAGAGCTAGCACATCACATGCCTACTCGAAACGACGATTTCACCCCTAGAAGGATTCACTCCCATCTCTCTAATTCAAACTTTTGTTCATATCAAATTTCCCATCCTCAAAAGGAAGGATTACATCATTATTTATAGAACAAAATCTTAGCCAAATCAAACATACTCCTCAATGTTACATTAAACGTTGGGCGCTCCTAGGCGCCGGACTTGGCGCCCAGCGCTTAGACGCCTAGGCGGGCGCCTAAGCGGTTTCTGGGCGGTTTTTTTCTTTTTCTTTTTTTAATTGTGATACTTGAAGATATATGTATATATATACTCAATCAACATTGCATAAATACAAAAATACCAACACATATGCTATCATTCCAAACTATAATAGTCAATCAAAAATTGCAATTTCATTCGTTATTGCTGCAACTTCAAAAACTGCAACTAATTATTGACTTATTGTTCTATTTTGTAGGTCAAAAACTGCAACTTCATTCGTTATTGCTGCAAATCCAAATGTTGAGAGCATGAATATTATAGTTTCAGCACTCAAACTCAATACAGATACATAATTATTGCATGTACAGTTGTATAGTAGGGGGCATTGAACAATTATTGCATGTACAGTTGCAAATCCAATAAGAGCACAACCGAACCCAAACAAAAAGGTTTTAACCCCTACTTCCTCAAGTGGGGTTTTTTCATGTTCTCTCTCCCTCTTGCTTCAAGAGTTCAATTTGTGAGCTAATTGAGGGACCAAAACATGCACTAGAAATTAAGAGCAATATTGGGAACCATTTCCAGTGGGCACAAGACAAATGGGGTGGAGCTCAAAATTCCTAGATTTGTAAGATTTGCTGATGGGATTAAATAAAACGATATTGCATTAATGTAGTAGACTGTAGAACTAATCAGATAGCATAACTGCCAACCAAAAAAAGGGAAAAAAAAGAAAAAACAAAGAACAAAACTAAACCAAACTTAAAAAAAGGAAAAAAGAGAAGAAGATAGGTTAGCAGTAATTATTTAGAACCTAGTTATTAAGTAAATACAGAGGGTAATTGCTTCTTTATCTTTACAGGCAACATAAAGGAGCTGAAAACGACGAGCTCTTAAGGGAGACCTGACTTACTGTGAAGAGATAGACGTCGGAGGTGAGAACGATGAGCTCAGAAGTGCAGGACGTCGGAGGTGAGAACGACGAGCTCGGAAGTTAAGCTCGAAGACGATCGTCGATCTCCCAGGACGAGGTTGAAGACGAGCTCGGTCGGAAGTCCAGGACGAGGTTGAAGACGTGCTTGGGTTTTGGCAGAGATCTAAGATAGACGTCGACGGTTGGAGGTGAGAACGATGAGCTCGAAGATGAGCTCGGAAGTCCAGGACGTCGGAGGTGAGAACGACGAGCTCGGAAGTTAAGCTCGAAGACGATCGTCGATCTCCCAGGACGAGGTTGAAGACGCGCTTGGGTTTTGGCAGAGGTTAAAGACGATCGTCGATTTTTTTTTTTGCTGGCGGCGTCGGGTGAAACAGATTTAGGGTTGGTTTTACTTTTGAGTTTGGGTATTGGGTATTGGGTTTTGCCTTTTTTTTGGGTAAAAAAGAAAAAACAAAGAACAAAACTAAACCAAACTTAAAAAAAGGAAAAAAGAGAAGAAGATAGGTTAGCAGTAATTATTTAGAACCTAGTTATTAAGTAAATACAGAGGGTAATTGCTTCTTTATCTTTACGGGCAACATAAAGGAGCTGAAAACGACGAGCTCTTAAGGGAGACCTGACTTACTGTGAAGAGATAGACGTCGGAGGTGAGAACGATGAGCTCGAAGATGAGCTCAGAAGTCCAAGACGTCGGAGGTGAGAACGACGAGCTCGGAAGTTAAGCTCGAAGACGATCGTCGATCTCCCAGGACGAGGTTGAAGACGAGCTCGGTCGGAAGTCCAGGACGAGGTTGAAGACGCGCTTAGGTTTTGGCAGAGATCTAAGATAGACGTCGACGGTTGGAGGTGAGAACGATGAGCTCGAAGATGAGCTCGGAAGTCCAGGACGTCGGAGGTGAGAACGACGAGCTCGGAAGTTAAGCTCGAAGACGATCGTCGATCTCCCAGGACGAGGTTGAAGACGCGCTTGGGTTTTGGCAGAGGTTAAAGACGATCGTCGATTTTTTTTTTTTGCTGGCGGCGTCGGGTGAAACAGATTTAGGGTTGGTTTTACTTTTGAGTTTGGGTATTGGGTATTGGGTTTTGCCTTTTTTTTGGGTTTGGGTTTTTGGGAGCGCCCAACTTAATATTTTGGGCTTGAAATTGTAGGGCGGGCCGCTTAAGCGGCCCGCTTAGGCCGCCTAGGCGCTCCCAGCGCCTAGACGTGGCCGCTCAGGGCATTTCTGCACGCCCTGAGCACCGCCTCCGCCTAGGCGGGCGCCTAGGCGGCCGCCCAGGCCGTTTTTTAGAACACTGATACTCCTAACTAAAAAAGATAACAAAAACCTTATCTAATTATCCTGACTAACATATAAAATTAAATAACAATTCCAACTAAAACATCTCAACTAAAATCAAATAAGACCCTTACAAGAAATTAAATCCTAAAATCTAATCTTCAATGTCTTGCATCTCCCGTGTATCCTCATTGGCATGTCACACCAATTTTAGTGCCAGCTACTTTGACTTCCATATACAGAGGACTAGGTGCATGCTCATGCAGCCATGTGAACACACAAGTCGCTCTCTATGAGCCTGTGAATGTATCCTCTTGAAATTGTATTGGAAGATCACCAGTCCTGAAAATCATTTGTACAGAACCTATCATAAAATTATTATCTCTATATATTTTCTGTTGTTTTCTTGGTCATGTCTAAAATGTAGAATGTTATGGAACTTCTCTGTATATGTCTAGAATTGTCTGATTTATTACCATAACTAGTTTTTATTTTGAGCCTAAGAGGTGTATTTTTTATTTGGGATTTATTACAATAACTTAGTTTTTATTTTGAGCCTAAGAGGTGCATTTTTGATTTCTTAACTGTTTTTAATGCATGGTCAGCTTTTCAACTGGTTGTGTTATCTTATGATGTTTTGTAGGAGGTAGTATTTTATGAAGATGGTGAGCCTAAAGTTGATGGTGAGCCTGGCGACCTGAAGGTGATTCCTTCTTGTGAAATCAGAGTATATTTTATTTTCTTACCGTCAGACTTTCTTTCTTTTCCCCTGAAAAAAAATGTATTTATGTGAGCAGTTTAGGATTCATACAGCACCACATGATCTCTTCAGAAGGGAAGGAAATGATCTTCACACAACTGTAACAATTTCATTGGTATGTCTTCTTTTCAAGCTGATTTTTCCTTTCAAATTTTAGTGTTCAAGTGATTGTATTCCCATCATTGTAGCTGTAAAACCAGCAAGTATATTCCAATCTTCTTGGGTGTTGGCTCTTTATTCTTGATTGTATCAATTGTTCCGATCTAGAATGAATTGTGATGGCAATATATTGCAACGAGTAGTGATGGAGTGAGAGGTTTCGACCCTGACTAACTGTCCTTTGTATGTGCTGGTAATGACAATAACCAAGTAGTATGTGGGCCAAATGGAAAATTTCATTGTTTGGTTTTGCTATATTCTGGTCTTAAGTCATGCTGGCAATTAGCTCAGCATGAGAAAAGTTGCAAATTTTACCTAAGGGGTCGTAGAGGTTTAGCCTGTTTGCATTGACAATATTTAGGAGGTTTGGCATGACTCACAAATTATTCAAGAAATAAAAAGGAAAACCAAATGGTTGTTCTTACCTTAATGTAAAGCAATGATATAGTTACATGACAGGGATGTACTCTAGATTCCCTGATGTTCAATAATTTTACCGCACGTCAAGTATTTAGCAGCTTTTTGTACAGATTGCTGCTAAAACCTTGGATAGACGGTGACAGAGCCAATATTGCTGTCTTCTACAATGAGAAAGTCATCTGTTTGGCAACACTACCATTGCTTAATTCATAGTTTTATTCATTTAGAAATTTAAGAAGTATTCGATGAAATATTCGTTTGTGTTTAGTTGGTTTCTATCTTCTGGGTTTGTCTCTATCGCCGTCAGGGGGATTAAAATCCCAGGTTCCCGACAACATCTGACTTCTGTTCGTCATAGAAATCATTATCACTTTACTCTTAAAAGTCAACTTTTTCTTGTGCTTGCTTATAGCTATACTAATATGAGTTAAACTAGCTTCCGTTAACTTCAGATGCCTGATATCAGCGACGTCTCTGTTTTTGTTCTACTTTTCTTGTACGCTTTGCATTATGGATGATAACAAGGTGAACTAAGTTTCATACATCTTGAACATCTAAATTGTTTTCAGGTCCAAGCTCTGGTAGGTTTTGAAAAGACCATCGAACATCTAGACGAGCATCCAGTTGAAATTGGCACAAAGGTTAGTAATTCCTTTCTGCTCATCTTACGGCAATTCTTCATCAATCTCAACCATAACTCCAAATCAACCGATGAATCTTTGTCACGTACAGGGAGTCACTAAACCGAAAGAGGTGAGAAAATACAAAGGAGAAGGAATGCCTTTACATTTGAGCAATAAGAAGGGAGATTTATACGTAACATTCGAGGTTCAATTCCCCAAGTCATTAACAGAAGACCAGAAGAAGAAAATCAAGCAGATTCTTTCTTGAGGGGTTTTCTTTTCTATTTATCTCTCTCTCTCTCTCGGCAGGCAATTAATTGGAAGGTGTACAGAGCAGGGGTGCACTCCGCAAATGGCTAATTTATTTGAGGGTGTTGTATTTTAATGTATTCCCTGATATATATATATATATATTCCTGCCATCTTCTTTGGCGACGAGGTATAGCTTTAGTTGTATGAACAAGAGTTTATTATTATTACACATAGAAGTGGTAATTTTGATTTCTTGCAGGGGTTATTAGAGAATTTTATTGATTTTACTTTCAACAAGTGTTCTAGCTTTCATGTGTGTATCTGATACAGTTTTAACTTCAGGACTAATGACTCTCCCTCCTGTTTGCTCGTTCTGCTCAAATTTCATCATGTGCAGCCTCTTCTCTCTTGTTTAGATTGGCAAGGGTTTTTAAATGAACATGAATACTGAGCCCATTTTTCTCAAAAAAATAAAAAAAATAAAATCCATATTTGGAGATATCTGTGTATTGTTTCAGTACGGAAGAACATGGATACTAAATATCTATACCCAACAGGGTACAAATGTCTATGTAAATATATAAATGAAATATTTGAATTTGAATCCTAATATATGTTGATCGTACAATTGAAATTGTTTTCGCCACTAGGTTAGCGGATGATGTAGATATTTAATCTTAGCTTTTCAGATATGCAGAACATACGTATCAAATGATATACACATTTCTCTTAATCAATTTGATCCCATACTCAATTTTGGTGGAGATGGATATAATTTTTCCTTATTGAAACATATTCGCATTCAATTCATATCATATGCGTGCGTAAGCCAATTCGGATCTAGTAATTTCCATATCTAATTGTTTGTAATACTCTTTAGTAACGCTTGTGCTTTATTCGTTCACTTGGAACTAAAAGAAGGGCAGAAGAAGACATGACAAAAAAAAATAAAAAATAAATGAAATATTCGATCGGATTAGATGTCCCTATATATATGGAAAATAAGGGGGTGTTGCGAGAATCGAACTCGCGACCTCTCGCACCCGAAGCGAGAATCATACCACTAGACCAAACACCCGAGCTCAAAATTTGTGAGCAGCATAAATTATATAAAAGAGGCAAAGATTGGTGAAATTGTCCTCTCCTTCTTGACAAGTCTTGTTAGCAGGCATTGACCGAGCAGTGGTATCATTTCCCCACTTCCTCAACTCTCGGAAGTCGGAACACACGGTCGATAAATACCATCGCGACAAAATCGTTGCGGCAGGAACCAATACTGGCTTCCTTCCGATAGCCAGCTCGAGCACATCCCTTCGACAGTACATTGAAACTTTGCTGAAGGTCAGAGATTTCTTTGCCTCCATAGCTGCAACGGCTGCACGCTTCCTGATCCTGTATCGACCAGTAGCTTAGCATGCAGTGCCCTCCAAAGCAAGTAGTCATACAACTGTACTCATCGATAATCTTTAACGCATCGTGTTCAATGTATTCGACGTCATCCATCTGCTCGTTCACTCTCTCGGAGGGCATGATCATGATCTTGATCTTGTCCGCCGAGGAGAGGGTGTTTTGAGCGATTTATCGAATACAGCCCTGTTTGTTAAACAATATTCAAAGTCGCAATCAAAGTAACAACAATAACAAAGGCATTACCCTAAAGTTTTGGTATCTGACTACATAAATACATTTGTGCTAATCTTTAGCACTCCGCATCAGTGCATTCAGTTGTTATTTCTTCTTACTAGAATGTTTTCAAATCTATTTGAAGCTCAAAACCTCCTCTTTAGTTACTGGTTGTTTAATGTCCAGTAACATCTACCCATATCTGAACAACATTCTCTTGTTCTAAAATTATTTTAAGAAAAATTGCCAACATGAATTAAAGTGAGCACATACAGTTAAAATTGGTGTCTGATACGTACAAGTGGCAATTCAGAACAATATTTGAAACCAGAAATAGTTGCCGAAGCCAACACAGCACAGGCTCAGACCTTCTCTCCAAAATGATAATAATAAATAAATAAAAATAAGAAGAGAAAAGAATGAAAGAAAGAAAGGAATAGTTGTTGAGACTCAATTCAATCCCCAGTTGCCAGCTTCTCTTCGTCTACTTCGAATGCCTTTCTCGCCTGCTTAAGCTCTTCGTTCATGGACAGAAGCTCAGTGCACCGATGGAGTTTGGGAGTATCCTGGTTTTGGGTTAGAAGAGGACGAGAAGGATATTATTGTCAGCACAGGAAAAGATATTATTTTGCACAAACACGTTGATGCGCTATTGAATTCTGTCAGAAAATAAGGACAACGAACATTAAAACTGCTTATGATGATGGGCATTGATTGGTGATAAATAGGGTTGAAATGGTAGTTCAATGCAGCAAACTTTGTCATGCGACAAAGACAAGTAGCTGGAATATATTGCTTTCTTCCTGCCTTTTTGCAGAGTTCAGGGTTTTGTTTAAAGTTTAATTTGGCACCTCATAAATATAATCAAAATTTTACTTTGCTACATAGACAAGGAAGTGACACATCCATTTCACCCCTATTTTACTTCACTACATTGACCTAGGAATCGATAAACTAAACATAACTGTGTGCATTCGTATGCACACTCCGTAACTCCTAACAGACAAACGCATGATATCGCGAAAATGGTCATAAAATGTTCAAATGTTAATTCTTTCATCCCGAAAACAGCTCACATAAACTAGCATTTAATAAGATTTACTGTATGCAATCCTGTGCTGATCCGTAATCCCTAAGAGACAAATGCGTGATATCGGGAAATGGTCATAAAACTGTACATCTGGTGATTCTTTCATCCCGCAAATAGCTCATATAAAATAGCATATAATAAGATGGCTCTATCCATATATTTGATTGAGCATATCATTCTAGATCTTGGCTTTTAATATCCTTCATCTTCTTAAGATGAAGCTTAAAGTACCTCATGTTCTGTTTTGAAAAATTATTGTATATAAGTTTCATTCAAAGAGAAACTAAAAATAAAGTCAAAGAACTAAACTTGACCTCACAAAAAGAAACATGAAATAATTTCATAAGAAGAGAAAAGTAACATTGCATTACTTTACGAACTAGATACAAAAAATCCTCAGTCAAAAGCTTCCCCCTCTTTGTTGCGATATCTTGGGCTTTATGCACCTGAAAACATGCAGAGATTTTTGGTTGGATTGCATTAAGAATTCTTAAATCTGACATCAAAAATCTTAAAACGGAATCAAGAATTTGGAATCATAATTACCAAATCAGTGACGTACTCCACAACAATATCTTCAAGCAATGCAACAGTTTCTGGAAGTGGCTGCAAATTGACAATCAACAAGTTAACCAACGTGCCGTAAAAGATCGAATAAAGATTTCCACTTTCTCAGTAAATGAAGCCCAACCCACTTATGTTCAGGTATCATATTGAGAGTTGCATTTAAACAGCCTGTTAACAACACTTCTAGACATGTACAAAAACTTCCAATCTTTATAAGACGATGCGAAGCAACATGCAACATTTTGCAACATGTTAGATAAAAGAAATGCATCATCCTTCAATTCTAATAGAAATACAGCAAGGCAAAGGACAAACTCAAGCTCTTTGATTATTTTTTTTCTCAAGATACTTTTGTGCATTTTTTTGTCCCCCCCAAGAGAAAGGATGGGGCCTAAATTGAAAGTTGCTTTGTGCATTATGGATGGACAACATTTCAAATTTCCAAATTTACATGTAATTGATGTAAATTCTTACATTGGGATCATCGCCGAATCCATACATCATGTGCTGCACTGAACAAAAATCAACGGTAACAAAAAAAATCCAATCTTTAGTACCTCTTCCAGTTCAAGGTCGAAACTTTTTCACACTCAAATACAGAAATCGAAGAAAAGGTCAAAACTTGAAGATGCAATTAGCTTACGATCTTTCTGGAACATCCCGCGCTTGCGCTTGAGAGAGGCGTCGGAGGAGGGCTTCGACGACGACGGAGGAGGAGGGTTTGCAGCCGCGGATGACGAATTGTGCATCTCGATGTCTTGATTTCTACGTCCCTCTCAAAACCCTAGAAATTACAGTTCCGAAGAGATTTAAAATTGGGGGAAATAGAAGACGGAAGGAGATGGAGGGGGTGGGGTCGGCTTGCAGAGGAAACTTGCAGAGAGGTCCATTAGAATTTGCAATTTGCATTTAAGGAATAGGGAAAAAGTGCAAAATAAAAATAAAATCAGTGGAGATGCGGGGTATCGATCCCCGTACCTCTCGCATGCTAAGCGAGCGCTCTACCATCTGAGCTACATCCCCTTTGCTATTGAGTTCTAATTTATTCTTTAGTAAATAAGAAGATATTTGTGAATTACTACAATACCCTCTAGAGAACCCTTCAAAAATCAACTTGTCTCGTGTTAGTTTCCCATTATGCAAACACCTCAAATTTTCGTACATGAGAAACTAGTTCAAAATAAAAATAGAACTACTCCAATCACAACGTATCAAGAGAAGGTTATTTGATGTTGCACATAAACAATGAACCGGCCATTTTCCAGCCATTTTTACTGATCATCGTAAAGACAGTTCATCAGATCATCGTAAAGACATAGCCTTCCCCTATTTCCAGCCATTTTTACTGATTCTACATCAACCGATATCTCGCAATCTCAATCCCACATCCTTGTAAAACAACAATTTCTTCTTGCTTTCGGATACAAGAGTCACGATAAAGTTTCAAGAGTTGCTTCCGTCTAGGAAGCACGTATCAATATATGAGGAATACAACCATCCATTACGAAGTACAACATTTAGTAAATGAAGGACAAACAATTATTACGCAAATGTTCACAGGTTGATCTTTCCAGCCAAGTACCAAGAATGCATGGCGAGGCTCCCGAAGGACAGGATGTTGGCGAGCGATGACAGGCCATGGATCATTCCAAATTTCTTGTTCATTGCTTTAAGTTTTGGGTTTGCTTTCGCCACTTCCATGTTTTTTGACCATCCGACTTCCTCGCCTATGTTCAGCTCTCTCTCAACTTTGTGCCTCTTCTTCATCATCTGTTTGTTAAGGAAAACAGGTATCAGGCACAGATCAAGCACTGTAACAGATATCGGATGAGCTTCTACTACACAAACTTCATGCAACTTCAGAAGTTGATCCTTGTATTATCAATGAATTATACAAAAGGAAGTAAAGAATAAAGATCTCAAACTAAGGAACAGAGCAGGTTTTTCCCTCAATAGCTTGAAACAATCTGCTTATAACAAAACAAGTTTTCATACACTAATAAGAGTATGCGATTTTGATTGTTTACTTATAGGCAGAGTATACTGAGCTCAATATAATATCCATGAACCAAACTTAAACGAGCTTTTTCAATTCACTAATTAATGGACAATACAACACTGTTTCATCAAGTAACAACAAATTTTTTATAAGTTGCGTTTGCTTGAAGCCATGGTGCTTCTTAACTGTTTCACTGTACTACTGAAATTTGCTTCTTCCACTACCATTATTAAGAGAAATTCTGCTTGAAAAGGTAATTTTTCATGATGAAACTGATTTACTTGGATGGCTCAATTAGTCACTCCACTTGATATCTCAACTTTATCTTGATTCCAAAATAGTAATAATAATAATGAGATGAAAAACTAAGACTCAAATCAGAACCAGTAATCAACTTATCATGCCAGACATAGAAGAAACAAAATGTATTTTGTTGCTCTCCTATCATGCATTATTCTAATTGTGGCATTTGTCATGTGCATCAAACAATCATTAGCATCGAAGAAAACCAAAAATGCCAGATATTTTCACAGTCAGGAACAAGTCAAAGGGATGAATATTCATAGTAATTTTACAAGAATGATTACTACCAATGATGCCACCATATATTTAAAAGAACAGCTAGATTAAAGTACTAACAAAAGTAAGTCACTTGTCAAAGAAAGGACCTAATATTTATTGATTAGAACATCACAAGGATGACGGTGAGAAATCATAACCCTGTAGTTATACAGCCTGACGAGGTTAAGAGCTCCAGAATCCTCAGATACCTTGTTACTGACATTAGAGTGAGAATAAAGTTTGCAGTCCGCCAATGGTAATAGAATTTTTTTCTAAAGTAATACATGTATTAAATAACTTTGCCCTTCTACTTAAAGCAAAATTTTCAGCAATCTCGAATTATTATACAGAAGGTAAGGGCCCCAAGAAAATAATCATAAAATGGCTATTTTTTCCCCGATAAAACCAATCTATCCTCCTTTGGAATAAGAATCAAAATTCTTCCTTGCCAACACAATTACACGAACATGCTACAATCCCGAGTGGCCCGGTCAATAATTAATTAAAATATCGCTTTGCAAGTTAACAATATGCTTTGCTGTTGCAAAACAACAACAAAATTAGAAATCAAAACCAAAGAGAAGAGTTCAGAGAAGAAAAAGTTTTGAGTCTGTGACAGTTACAGAAAGAATTGATTCGAAAATAAAAAAAGTAATGTAGTTATTACAGTCATACAAGGAATTTCTAAATAATATCTTCTGTAATGACTGTAACGGAAGACTTTTATCATAAGGTCTGACTCTAAGAATTTTTTGGTTTCCTAGATGAGGCAACTATGAGAAAAGACGCGTCTTTCTATCTAAAGGTAAGTGGAAGATCTAGCTTATGAGAAGAAGACCACGAGCTAAATTATCTTACAACACAAAAAAATAGTGCTAACCTATCTTACCTGGGTACTTCTATCGAGACACCCATAGCCGTACCTGACACATACACGTATTGAAACTTCTTCGACGCTTCTTGAATATATGCATATGTTTATTCAGGTGTATACCCATTTATATTAGACATGCTTAATTTAAAACACCCACTCATACACTTCTTGGACATGTTCCTACAATTCACATCTATTTCTTATACGTTGATCCTATATAAATTATTAATTTTAATACACATAAATATTTAATTACATATAAATACACACACATATAGCAAAGTACCAGTATGCTACCTTTTACAAATTTGTCGTGTCCCATACCTGTACCCATGCAACTTAGGTGCTAACTAAATGAGGCGAGCAGATGCTACATAGAATATTAAGTGAAGAAAAAGATTCATGAAGCTGACTAAAGACTGTAGATAAAGCTTTGATAGAACTATGTGGGCAAGGTTACATCAAGCGCTAGGCGGCCTAGGCGTCGGACCTGGCAAGTAGAGCCTAGGCGAGGCCTAAGTTTTTTCCTAATTTCTTGTTTTTTTTAATTACAATCAATGTTATCGGAAGCGTTAGGCACTGCTAAGCGCCAAATTGGCACGTAGACGCTAGGCCTAGGAGGATTACTTGTTTTTAAGTGGTGGCAGAGGACGTTTACATGAAGGTCTAAGGAGTTGGAGGTGTTCGAAGTAAGTGGAGGAGGCCGAGGGAGTTTGTAGGAGGTTAGAGGAGGTAGAGGTAGCAAGAAAATCTTGACCAAGATCTAAGCAATGCAGTTTGCATAAGAGGTCTCTAATCCCCCAGGCACCCCAAAGATCTAGGCGGGCAGCTTAGGTACTGCCTAGGCCTAGGAATGAGCCAAGGCGAGAAAGGTGGGAGCTTTTTAAAACATTGAATGTGGGTATATCAACAGAAGGATATAACCAGCAAAATGTATAATACCAGTACCTCTTTCATCAAAGTTAGTCCTACCACACTCTAGCAAGTATGCAAAACACACTCTCACCATCCTACGATCACTGAAACACAACATATTGCTTCCAAACAACAGATATCACCTTGCAACTAAAAGCTCACCATTATGCACTACTTCAAATTAATCCATAAAATAAAATTGCAAGATAGCAAAATTAGAAGCTATTATAACAGTGCGATACAGGAAAATAGGAGTGGAAGGCATTTAACAGTATGCATGAGAAAAACAATCCAAATCCACTTTGAAACAGGCAATAAACCTTAGTTTTGCCATCAATCCCATTGCGTGATATTTCTTGTATGGAGAGAAATAAATAGAAAATTGAGGAAATTTTACCTCAATAGTCATGGGAGTGAACACCAGAAGATTGGAAAGGTTAAATCCAAGTGCAGATAAAAGAAATCCCAACTGATACATCTCAACTGATGATGCCGATTTCCATGGATGAAGGTAAGCAAATGCCGCAACTGATGTCGCTGCAGACACTGATACCACCATAAAATATGCTGGAAACATCTTGCTTTGCAAATTTCCAAACATATGCCTCGGCAAATTCCTTCAGAATGACAAAAAAAAAGTTCCTTGTAAGGTTCTATCAGGTCTAGCGCAATATATACCTAGCTAAAAGAGTAGGTTTTTTATGGAACATATACAGGAAACTTTCCAAATAAATGAAGTCAACAATAGTAACTCAAATTAATTTCAGAAAAAAAATCCTAAATTAATTAACTAACATGTTCAAAACTAAAGAGCAATTCCAGACCTTGACATCCTTAAACATAAATTTCTCAAAATTAGTCCGCATTTAATCCATCACATTACTCAGAAAATTCCACGAAAATTTCATTTTCCTCCAACATAAATAAAAATAAACCAAAATTTATGGATAACACTTTTAGTTAAAAGTTTTACCTTTCAAAATTTCAACTTTCTACCTTAAAATTACCCAAAAGGTATTTTAAGCAAAAACACCACATGGGTTCTAGGGACAAATTTCAATTGTTCAAAAGATTAAGCTCCAAATTTCAATTTCCTCCTCATAATTAGCAAGAAGCAAAATTTACAAACGACAAAGAGGTTTCATCCAAACATATAATTAGCTAAAAACACAGAGTCAAGATTTCAACTTTCTACCTCAAAATCAGGGGAAGAAAAACAAAAATAACAAACTGTTGAGGGGTTTCATGCAAAAGCTCAAACTTTTACTTGAACATTATGATGCCGCCGATGAAGGTGACCCAAAGAGCAGCGCCCCAAGCAGTAGCAAAGCAAAGAAGATGAGCGAGCTTCGCAATCGAAACGACGATCGGTGCGGATTCGGGTCCAGACCCGAAAAGATCCGGAGCGAAGACGACGCCGACGGCAAAGAAGGCGACGGCTGTCAAGAATCGGGTGGCCCACGCCATCGGGAGGCAGAATTAGGGTTAGGGTTTGTTAGGGTTTCAAAGAAATTGAGGAGCAAAGAGAGAGATTTGAGTGTATAAAGATTGTGGTAGTACCGTAGTAGGAATAAAAAGGTTAGGTGAGTAATAAAAGAAGCAGGTGGGGATTTTTGTAAATATGCCCATTTATATTTGGAAAAGTGGATCCTATAGTTTTCAATACTTAGCACTTACATACCCTCACTTATTTTTTTTGCACTATTGCTCTCTAAAGTTTTTAAAACTTATACTTATATACCTTCACTTGTTTTTACAGCATCTATATACCTTAAAATTTTAAAATGTGCACTTAAATGTCCTATAGTTTTTAAAACTTGCATCTACATACCCTCGTTCTCACAGGCTCGAGGTATTTAAGTGCAAGTTTTAAAAAATATAGGATATTTAAGTGCAAGTTTTAAAAAAGGTAGGATATTTAAATGCCATTTTTAAACAACTTCATGGTATTTAAGTGCGAGTTTTAGAAAACCTTAGGGGAAAACAAGTGAGGATATATAACTGAAAGGTTTGAAAAATTCCAGGGTATATAAGTGAAGCCAAAAGCAAGTGAGAGTATGGAAGTGTAACATATGAGGAAGTTATAGGGTACCTAAGTGCAATTAGCCTAACCCTGTATAAACTATTGTCATATAAACATTAATTTGTGAAGTTGAGAATCTAAGTTAAATTTGAGATTATGTAACATCTCAAATTTAGAGTTATCTTGTGTTTCATCTCGCCGTCTCAAGAGCAGACTCCAATCTCCACCTATGAAAAATCATTACATATTGAACATAAATATGAACCAGCCACATTTCCTAATTTCCACCCAAGGAGAAAATCATCAGAAATCATAAAGATACATTCAACTAACTTCATCCATTTTTATTATTTCAACAAATCCTCAATCCCACTTCTAAAACTACAAATGTCTTGTTGCTTACGGATCCAAGAATCATAATAAGAAGGCTCATGAGCTATTTCCATCTAGAAAGCATACATGCATCAATATATATATGATGAAGATGACCATCTAATACAAAGCATAAGATAGAATCGAAGGGAAATAACTATCCCAACAACTGTAAACATAGAAGGGTTTAACTCCAAATAAACCCCCTGTCCTATCGCCAAATTGCAACTAGACCTTCTCTAGTTCAATTTGCATTTGTGCGGATAGACCACTCGAGTGAACTTTTTTGAATCTTAAAGTTCACTTAGGAGGTCTATCCGCACTTGGGTAAATAGCACAGGGGTCTATCCGCACCAATAGAACTATGTAGAGTCTATCCGCCTCTGGGCTATAATCGAGGGGTCAATCCGCAATTAACCAAACAGAAAATCCACATCCCACAGGTTAATCTTTCGAACAAGACACCAAGAATGCACAGCATGACTAGCAACTGACAGTATATTGGCGCACGAGGAGAGAGTATGGATCATCCTGAACTTGTTGTTCACTGTTTTAAGTCTTGGGTCTGCTCTGACTACCTCCATCCAACTTTCTCGCTGATGCTCAGCTCTCTCTCAACCTTGTGCCTCTTCTTCACCATCTGTTTTTGTTAAGGAATACAAGTAAGATTAATAACATTCAGATACCCTGAGGTAGGGTGATTGGTGACCGTATGAGCTTGCGTATCTACACGACTAACCTTGAGCTTAGTGATTGTACTTACAGTCTTACACTGGTGACCCTAGAGTCTGTTTACATCTTCCTCAGGGTTACCTGTGTAGATACAAACAGTAGTTACACATGTGGATTTGCTCCACTGTCACCCGTGTGATTACACCATACTTCAGGAAATAAAGTTAGGAAGTCGATCAATTGGTTAAACAAAATGAATATTTAGAAGAAAGGAAAAGAGCAATTTGTTACTTGAATGAGTTGACACAAGTTGCTTATAGAAAAAATTGTTTTCATATTCATTAATAATGAGGTGATATTGATCATGCACTTACAGGGTAGAATATACTCAGATCAATATAAATTTCAAGGCATCATACTGAAAAGCTAGTTTAATTTTCACTAAATACAGAGGATACTATTACACAGTTTTACCCAAAAAAGGAAATTGTCATAAGGTGGATTTGCTTGAAAGCATTGTGTTTCCTAGGTCTTAGTTGCTTCACTGTCTAACCGAAATTTGGTTCTTGAATTACTTTTGCTAAGCAACAGTATACACGACAAGTTGTTTTTTAAGATAAAATCCTGATCACTATGATATTTGCATGGCTCGAGTAGCTACTCCACTTGATATTTCAAGTCTACTACGAAATTCGGGAAAAGTTAAACAGAAATTATAAATACTAAACACAACACTGCTACTCAATAATTTCAAGCCATCCTTTGAAGAAAAGTATGTAGTTCTGTTTCTTTTTATTGTGCGTTCTTTTATTTGAGGAGTTCTTTCATATATACTAAGATTACATTGATCGGAAACAAAGATGTCGGATCTCTCTCACAATAAGAACTAGCCAAAGAGCTGAATGTTCTAAACAAGTATTGCAAGGGGCCTAACAGAAAGTTGACTTCTTTACAACACTACAACACCGTGAAGATGATAACAAGTAATTGTAGGAGTTATCGAGCTTGACAGGCTTATATAATTTGTGCTAGAATAAATTTGGAAGCCTGTGAGATACTAACAGAACATGTTTCTAAAGCAATGCCTATATACAGAACTAGCTAATCCTTAAACTGATTATAAGTATCTGGACAATATATGCTACCTTGCAACTAAACCCTATCATTAAATGTGACTTCACAATTAAATCCATATAATTTACATGTCAAGATAGCCAATTTCAAAGTTGGAATAAACAGAAGATTCACTAAGCAGAGCATAATCTCAATTGTCATATGGGGAAGTAGTAGTAGAAGCTTGAAAAAAGTAGTCAAAACCCACTTTGAAACAAGCAGCAAAACTTAGTCTCACCATTATCTTATTGGATTTGGATCCTCTCCACTATCAAACAATAGTGGAGAGACCACTACTTTCCATTCAAACCGTTGATCATTGAATAAATGGTCGTAGACAATTGTGACTCTTCCAAATATAACACTTACCATGTCCTCATGAATTTCACTTATTCCTGTTTTGCATTCAAGACGACGAATTACAATCATTAATTAAACAATCAATGGTTGTATTCTAAGTAGTTGTCTCTCAACTGCTTCTTAAATATTAGCGATGAGGATCCGAATCCTATCTTATTACATTCAGCAACTACATGATATATTTCCAACTATGAAACGCACATCTACAGAGAAATAGATATACAATTCAAGAAAATTACCTCAATGGTCATGGGAGTGAACACTATAAGATTGGAGAGAAAGAATCCAAGTGCCGATAAAAGAAACCCCAACATATACTTCTCAACGAATGGTGCGGTTGTCCATAAATGAAGGTATCCAAATGCTGCAACTGATGTTGCTGCGGACACTGATACCACCATGAAGTATGCTGGAAACATCTTGCTTTGCAAATTCCCAGAGATATGCCCCAGCAAATTCCTTCAAAAGTCTATCAAAAATTTGCTTGTAAGTTTTTCATGCAGGTAAAATCATAAATTTACTTGAATGTATATAGGCTGGAAAGTATTTAGGAAACTTTCCAAATTAATGCAGCGAAGAAAACAAACTCAAATTAGTTTGAAAAAAAATTCTAAATTAATGCAATAACAGGTTTGTGACCAAAAGAGTAGTTCCAGCCCTTCTGAAGTACTTGAATAAAAATTAAGCAAAACTAGTCTGAATTTAATCAATCACGTCCCAGAAAATTCTTAGAAACTTTTATTTTCACAAACACAAGTAGAAACCAAATCTATCGCAATATACATTTAGTTTAGATATTTAATTGAAGCTATTTAGGAAAATTTCCAAACTAATGAATAACAAAGCTGACTCAAATTAATTTGAGAAAAGATCCAAAATTAATTAAATGACAGGGGTAAGAACAAAAGAGAAATTCCAGCTCTTCAAGTCTTTGAACATAAATTTACCAAAATCAGTCTTTCATTTAATCCCACACACCTCAGAAATTCCTCCAAATTTTCTTGTTTTTCCAGAAATAAATAAAATAAAATCAGATTTATTGATAGCACTTAGCTTAAGGTTCTAGGCTTCAATTTGTTCCGAACATTAATTCAAACTTTCAACCTCAATATTAACAAAAAAGATAAAATCTTGCAACTGACAAAGTGTCTGTGCAATTCTGTATTTTCAATTTATACAAATATTAACTTCTAATTTTCCACTTTCTACCTCAAAATTAACCGAAAAAACAGAATTTTACAGACGACAAAGAGGTTTCATGCAAATATATGCTTAAGCTAAAAACATTTGAGTCAAAGTTTTTCGACTTCCTACCTCAAAATCAGCAAAATTAACCCAAGATTCTTGCTTGAACATGATGATACTACCAAAGAGAGTGACCAAAGAGCAGGACCCCAACAGGTAGCAAAACAAAGAAGACGGGTGACCTTCGCAACTGAAACATGATTGGAGCGGATTCGGGTCTTGACCCGAAAGGATCCGGGGCGAACACAACACCCACAGCGAAGAAAGGCCACAACTGTGAGTAATTGTGTTTTCCACGGCATTGGGAAGTGGAGTTAGACTTTTTAGGGTTATGGGAGGATCAATTGAGAAGGAGAGGTAGGAGTTCACTGTATAGCTAGAGTCCTGCTGCTGGCAGTCACTTAAGGCAACTCCCCATTGCCACTGCTGCTGTATATTGGTGACTGCTGCTGCTGTCACTCAGGCTGTGGATACGCCATGTTTCCCTTAACTATAACCCAGTAAATTTTTCATTAAACTCCCATCTCTTCAGAACCACTGTGTATATAGAACAATGTAATTCGGTATATACAGCTGCCACTGATAAATAGAAATTTGATCAACTCTCAACAAATCACTTGGTAATCGCAGGCACAAGTCTTCACATTGTGGATGGTCAAAATGTCAATCACTTCTCTTTGACAGAGTATAAAAGATTAAGAGTTAACAACACTATCACCAATTCTATAATTAGTCATCAAATCTGAAGCATTGTTAATATGAACTCCCCTCCTTTCACAGTCAGTAACTGCATCTAGGACCTCTCCAAGACGACCCGTAGAGGAAAGTGCATCGATAATTGATCCATATGAGTATGAATTTGGACAACACCCATTGGTTTCCATGACTAGTACAACTTCTTTGGCTTCTTCAGTTCTTCTAGCATCACATAAAGCCTTTATAAAAGCATTGTAGGTATAAATATCTGGAATTACCCCAAATCTCAACATTGAATCAAAAAGGTTTCGTGCTCTCTCAATCTTGTTCATCTTGCACAAGCTCACAATGAGAGCATTGAAAGAAAAAACATCCGGCTTAATTCCTTCTGCCTTCATCTTTTGAAATAGCTTCATAGCCCTCTGAACATCTCCAATAGAGCCAAGAGAACGAATCAGTATATTATATGTAATAGCATTTGGAGAAATGCCCCATTCAATCATCTCATTGAAACAACCAAAAGCATCATTTATCTGATGGACTCGGCAAAGGCCATCTATTAGAGAGCTAAAGGTAACAACATCCGGCTTAAAACCATGCTCCAATAGCATTTTTAAAACATCCCTTGCCAAATTCACATCCCCAACTTTAGAATGACCTGATATTAGAGTATTATAAGTGACAATATTTGGGGGAAAGCCCTTCTTGATCATATCTTTCAATATTTCCATTGCCTTCTCCATCATTTCAGCTTTAACAAAGCAATCAATCAACATGTTATAAGATACAACACTGCAAATAAGTCCATTGATTATCATCTTCTGGAGACATCGATGTGCCTCTGCAGCCTTTCCTTCTTTAAGCAATGACTTGATCATTGTAAGATATGTACTAAATCCAGGCTTCCCACCTCTCCTAACAAAATCATCAAACAACTCACAAGCTTCACTAAGTCTCAAACCCTTCACAAGACAAGCCATGACAAAGCCAATAGTCGAAGGATCTGGTAAATAACCCCTTTTGCTTGTCTTATTCATAAAATCTTTCACCTGTATCGCCATGTTGTTCTTCGAAAGGCAATACAAAAAAGTACTATAAGCATTCTCTTGAACCATTGATTCCCGTTCTAAAACACCACACACTATCTCATAAGCTTTTTTAAGCTCCAACGACCGAAATGCACCATGAATCAAAGACCTAAATGTGGCTTCACTGGGAGACACATTCTTTTTCGTCATCATCTCTAAAACCTTAACACCCTCCTCCACCTTCTTTGTGTTGCAAAATCCATCAACCAACATTGTGTAAGTAAACACATTAGGAGAACACCCAAAGGCTTCCATTTGCTTCAGCAACCGCATCGCTTCATCAACAATACCCAACTTACAAACTCCATGGATCAAAGTATTGTAAGTGAACCTATCTGGTGTACAATTGTCCGAACCCATCTGCTGAAACTTAAAGTAAGCCAAATCGAGCGAATTCGCTCTCACCAAAGCATCGATAACCGCATTGTAAATCCGAGTGCTCGGCCTCAAGCCCAACACAGACATTTTCACGAACACCTCGTTAACATACTTAGCAAGCCCCAATCTGCCCCAACTCCCAATCAAAATGCATAAACTTTCCTCTGTAAATCGAATCCCGCTACCTTTAACTTCCTTCAAAAGCTCAACAGAGAGCAAAACCGGGCCTTTTCGACACAACACATTAGATAAAACTCTACAAACTGATGGATCCCTTGAGATTTTTTGACTGAAATTTGAAACCCAGATGTAAAACTTGAGGGAGTGAATTGGGTTATCTTGGTTTTGGATGACGGTGACTACAGATTGAGGATTGGAGTGGGGTAACTTGGGCTTGAGCTCTCTGTTTAGAGCTGAAAAGGAGTCTTTTTCGGAGAGGATTGCTGAGATTTGAATTGGGTCGATGGGGATTAAATTGGGTTGGTGAGGTTTTGGCGAAAGATTGGATTTTGGAGGGAAATGAGATGGTCGGAGGTAGCAAGAGGAGAAGCGCCGCATTTTCTGGCGGAGCTGTAGAGAGAGGAGAGAGGAGGAGGTTAATGGGTTTTTAACGGGTCGGGTTTGGGTCAGATTATGAGTTGCCCAAATGCAAGTAAGAGAATATAAATAAAATCACATTAGAGGGGAATACAATGAGGATGATAATAGATTTCCCCTACCCCCCGCCACACACCCCCCTAAGAAAGATGATTTGACCAAAACTTTGATGCACCGGCCGTTGAGAGATTTCAATATGACTCTCATCGTACTGGGTCCTCCCACCCTAAGAAAGACTGATTTGACCAAAACTTTGATGCACCGATAATCTGGATAGCTGAGAGATTTCAATATGACTTTCATAGAACTGGGTTTAATTCTAGACTAGTTATCCCAATAGAAGAAAAAAAAGAAGAATATAAATAAAATTTAAAGTCCTCCCACCCTAAGAAAGACTGATTTGACCAAAACTTTGATGCACCGATAATCTGGATAGCTGAGAGATTTCAATATGACTTTCATAGAACTGGGTTTAATTCTAGACTAGTTATCCCAATAGAAGAAAAAAAAGAAGAATATAAATAAAATTTAAA